GGGGGGGGGAGAAGTGGGAAAGAGGGAGGAAAGAAAGCAGGTAGTGGGTAGAGAGATAGAAATTGCGAAAGAAAAGAACTTCAGGCCTGTGAGTGGCGTGGGTGTTGGAGGTAATGTATTCTTAAAGAAGGGCCGTGCTGGCGATATCGGCTATACTGAGAGCACATGTGTCACTCTATTAGCGATAAAAACATTACAGGTGTGTTATCTCACGGTTCGGCTATACAGAGAGCGCATACATGTGTATTTTACTCTATCAGCGATCAAGACATTAGATCTACTGTAGCTGTGTGTATTTTTTTTGTCAGTGTTTTACAGCGCTCGCAACTGCATAAGGTCATCTGAGGGCTCAAGACACATTAAACATTTTCAGTTGGTAGAGAAAATTTTGAATTTTGCTCAGGTGGCGGCCGAAGCTTACTCTTATTTATCGATTTTCAACCACAATATGATCTTTAACGTGCGCAACATGCACACGGGGCCTCCGGGATTTTTCGCCCTTGTCCGAGAAGGCGAGGTGGAGATCTTTCTTACCATAAGATCAGGGGTGTGGCTGAAAGACAGCAGTAAGAAGGAGCCAAAGAGTAGCAGTGGAAAGAGTCAGGAGCCCAGAAGAGGGGGCAAAGGAGGTGAGATGGTCAGAAAGTGGAGACGAAAGCTGACAACAGAACATTGCTAGAGAGCAGGAAAGGAGGTGAAAGGAGACAATTTAGAGAAAAAAATTTCCGTCGCTATCCCGGCTCGAACCCGGGACCTATTGAATGAGAGGTGAACACCTTACCTCTTGGCCGCAAGAGCCCTTTATCTACAGGTGTATTACTCTATCAGCAATAAAAACGGTACAGGTGTGTTGTTTTATCGGCTCTATTTATCTGAAGTTTGGGGATATTGGCACAAACTACTTGCAATGGGGCTCTCGTGGCCTAGAGGTTAAGGTGTTGGCCTCTCATTCAAAGGTCCCGGGTTCGAATCCGGGTAGTGATCGAAAATTTTTCTTCTCTAAATTTGTCCCCTTTCACCTCATTTCCTGCTCTCTAGCAATGTTCTGTCGTCTGCTTTCATCTCCTCTTTCTGCCCTCACCCCCTCACCTCCTTTGCCCCTTCCTCTGGGCTCCTGATTCTTTCTGCAGCCTTTCTACTGCTACCCCTTCGCTTCTTCTTACTGCTGTCTTTCAGCCACACCCCTGATCTTCTGGTAGGAAAGATCTACACCTAGCCTTCTCGGACAAGGGCGAAAAA